CAGAGAAGGGCAACAAAGCTGATGAAGGGTCAGGAGAACAGGTCTTTTGAGAAGCGGCTGAGGGAACTGGGGTTGTTCAGCCTGGAGAAGAGGAGGCTGAGGGGAGACCTTATGGCTCTCTGCAACTACCTGAAAGGAGGTTGTAATGAGGTGGGGGTCAGCCTCTTCTCCCAAGTAACAAGCGATAGAACAAGAGGAAATGGCCTCAAGTTGCATGAGGGGGAGGTTTAGATTGGACATTAGGAAAAATTTCTTCGTTGAAAGGGTTGTCAATCATTGCAACAGGCTGCCCAGGGAAGTGGTTGAAATGTGGTGCTTAGGGACATGGTTTAGTGGTGGAGTTGGCAGTGTTAGGTTTACAGTTAGACTCTATGATCATAAAGGTACTTTCCAACCTAAATGATTCTATGATTCTGTGAGATTTGCCATCTCCTGAGGGCTAACCCCAACACTGGCAGCAGAGGCAAATACGTTTTCATATTTTTTTTGTGAAATGCATGGTAGTTAGGAAAAATACAGGGATGTGAGAGTACCAGGGGTTTTCTCCTTTTTGAAATCTCTAGCAAATAATTACTTCAGGGATTAATCAAAGGCTTGCCCTGTCACAAAATCTTTAATTTCCAAATATTTCTGTGGTTTTGCAAATTCCCATTCATTTTGAAAAATTGCTGTAGAAGTCAGTGGGAGAAATTGACAACTTTTCACTTGATATTTTTGTCTTACGTTAGTGATGCAGTTGCTTTCTTTGTTTATGAGCTTATTTTGTCTTGCTTACCTTTTTGTTTCCATCCTTTCTCTAACTCTTCTAGATACAAGCTGGCTGTGGAAGTAATTTTCTCCCACCACCCTCCTGGGTTCTCAAAACCTTTCCATCCTGTTTGGAGGGTGAGGTAAAAGGGTGCTGTTGTGAAGTGACCAGGGCATTCTGCTCCAGTTGGTGTTGTACCCTGATTGGACTCACTTGGCCTTCATAGCAGGGTAAATTGGCCTACACAAAAAGTTATGCTGATGTAATTTTCAATACCTGAGGGGTAGTTCCAAACAACAAAAAAACCCCACTAGTTTTCAGCTTGCTCAGTCTCCTGAATAGATTTACTTTTTCAGCGCCTCGCAGCTATCTAGTCATACCCTCAGTAACTGAGAGTCTCATCCTGTTTTAGCAAGTATTCTGTTCCTTTTCCTGTTTACTACCTCTATTAGGTTGGCTTTAGTTAATTTACATTAGAAATTTTTCCTTCAACTTTTTTTTTTTCTTCTTTATTTTCAAGTACGTGTTCTGGTATGAAAAGTTAATTCCTGCAGTGTTGTTTGAATCCATCCACCTTGATATAGGTAGCACTTTAATTAAAGCTAGTAGATAAGGGTCAGTCTACACACAATGGCCATGTTGCAAAGCTTATTAGCTTATGTCTGCAGTGTAAAAGCTAATGCACTTCCCAATTCTCCGGTGTGCTTCTCGAGCAGTTTAGAATGAGACGTAGGGAAAGAAGCACAACATGGAAGACAGCCCTAGCAGGCCCGGACTATGCCCCAGTCTGGATGACTGAGAAACGAAGACTGTGGGGCGTACGTGGGCCTCTCTTTAAACATACCACAAGGGTTAGTCTGTGCAAGGCAGAAAAGCCAGTCAGTTGCCGAGGGCAGTAATAGCTCATACAAAAAATATACTGCATCCAGCCCTGTGCAGTGTTTGTTACAGCAATTGTAGGTGTGTTGCATCACCTATGTTGCAGTAGCCTACTGCTGCGTGCCTCCGGCTAGCTCGTAAAGCCCTTGTTGCTTGTTACCTTGCATCCCATTCACCGCTCTCAACCTGACTGTGTTTGCAATACACGCCTGTGATTACGTAAAGGAAGATTCTTCTTCTCAGCTGAGGACAGAACAGCAGCTATAAATTGGAAGTTGAAAACAGTTCAAGCTTACGTGTGTCATGCCTGGATATTTCATATTAATAAAGAATTTCAACTTAATGCTGTATTGGGCCTGAGCTTTTATTGGCTTCCCTGAGTCTTACAGAGTCTTGGTAGCTTATGTTCAAAATTAATGGAAAAGATATTTTAAAAGCCTGTAAAAACAAGTATTTATATTCAGAACATCAGTAAAGTGGTTGCTGAATATTCTTTGCTTACTGGTAGGTGTTCATCGTCTTGGGACACAGACATTTTTGAAAGGACCTATCAGAAGGGAAAAAGATTTGCTGTCTTGGTTGCATAATTGCAGGAAAAAGTGGTGACTCAAAGAGAAATCCTGAAAACGCTGTTTGCTTTCTTGGAATAATGAACACATAGGAAGCAAGTGGACTGAATTTTAAATAGAGCTAAAATAATTCTGTGGGGGTGACCGAAATGTAATTCGCAGAAAAACAGGGCTTGGGCAGCAGAGCTGATTCTTCATAGTTATACCCACCTTGAGCTAATAGACTGTCTCATCAGAGGTGATTTTTTTTTTAAGACTTGTAAGACTACATTAACTGTTAGAGTAATTTTCTAGTTACAGCATGTTTCTCTGAGCTTTCAGTTTATGCACTTGTAAAAAAAATTACTCTTTTTTTTTTTTCTGTATTTCAGGAAAGAGAAGAAATACATAGATGAACGCTGGAAAAATGTCAATGTTGGGGACTTCATCCGGCTTTCACGTAATGAAATAATTCCTGCTAAATCCTGCTGACATGGTGCTGTTATATTCTAGTGACCTGGATGGGATCTGTTACATTGAAACAGCAGGCCTTGATGGAGAAACTAACCTAAAGCAGAGGCAGGTGGTGAGAGGATATTCAGAGCAGGTAATAATTGTGCATTTCTAGTGGTGTAAGAAAGTTGACATGACAGATGATTAACTAAAAAAACCCAGACAACTTAGCCCTCTAGATTGCCTAATTTTTGATAGCTCAGCCATCCCCATCTGAAAACAAAATAACCAGGTAGCATAGTTCTAATTTGTTGCTTATTTTGGAGCAAATCTTTGCTTGTTCACTTAACCCAGAGAAAAGAAAGATCTGTTTCAAGTAATGCAAACCAGTAAAAATAACTATTCAGGTAAATGTTAAAAGTCATTTGTGATGTGTATCATGTCGTGGGTAAGAAATCGTAGGTTTTTTATAAGGGAGTTCTGTGCTGGGAGAGAGGAGCAGATACTATAGTGTCTCACTGTTTTTTCATATTGCAAATGTGTTTTTCGCTCCAATTTGACACTGTCCCCCGTGACACTCTTGTCTCTAAACTAGAGAGGCAAGGATTTGACAAATGAGCCACGCGACGGATCGGGAACTGGCTGGCTGGTCGCAATCAAAGCATCATGGTCAACAGCTCGATATCCGAGTGGAGACCAGTGACGAGTGGTGTTCCTCAGGGGTCGGTATTGGGACTGATGCTATTTAACATCTTTGTTGGCAACATGGACAGTGGGACTGAGTGCACCCTCAGACAGTTTGCCAACACCACCAAGCTGTGTGGTGCAGTCAACACGCTGGAGGGAAGGGAGGCCATCTGGAGGGACCTTGATAGGCTGGAGAGGCAGGCCCGTGCAAACCTCATGAAGTTTAACAAGGCCAAGTGCAAGGTCCTGCATCTGGGTCAGGGCAATCCCAAGCACAGATACAGACTGGGCGATGAGTGGATGGAGAGCAGCCCTGGGGAGAAGGACTTGGGGGTGCTGGTGGGTGAAAAACTGAATATGACCCAGCAATGAGCACTCACAGCCCAGAAGGCCGATCGCATCCTGGGCTGCATCAAGAGAAGTGTCAGATTAGATATTAGGAAGAAATTCTTTCCTGTGAGGGTGGTGAGGCACTGGATCAGGTTGCCCAGAGAAGCTGTGGCTGCCCCCTCCCTGGAAGTGTTCAAGGCCAGGTTGGATGGGGCTTGGAGCAACCTGATCTGGTGGAAGGTGTCCCTGCCCATGGCAGCGGGGTTGGAACTAGATGGTCTTTAAGGTCCCTTCCAACCCAAACCTTTCTATGATGGTCCCATGAGTCACTCAAGGATTTATAAAATCTTTGGAACTCTTTAGAGTTTTTCTGTTACAAGCTTACTGTGAACAGCATTAACGAAGTCATCTCTGCCTTTCAAGACTGAGCATCACTGGGTCTCAGAGGGTTTACACATACCAAGTAGTGGTGGAAAATTGGTGGATCTATACTTTTCAACCGTGGAAGTCAGGTGGTTAAGGCTTTATAAGTAATTCATTAAGGCCTTTCCAAATACTGAAAAGAGATGGCTGCCATTGGTTTTTATACCAGACAAATAGATTTTATTTAGTGTTATACTTAGCAGACAAAATGCTGGAGGCTGCACAAAGAAGGTGATATCAAAAGAACAAAGAATCCTGGCATTTCTACAGTTGTCAGCATACCTGATACTGAGTTCTGCTGCTTAAACACCGTGCTGAAAACAACAGCAGGGAGGCTGTGCTGTCCGTAAGAACAGACTGGTTAGTCCTCTGGGGATAAAATTACCTGAACTGACTCTGAATTTTCAGCAGTGTTCATTTATCAGCAGTCGTGGTTAACAGGGGAGGTCCCAGAGGACTGGAGGCTTTCCGGTGTGATGTCCATTTACAAGAATGGCCATAAGGAGGATCCGGAGAACTACAGGCCTGTCAGTCTGACCTCGGTGCCAGGGAAGGTCATGGAGCAGATCATCTTGAGTCCATCACCCGACATGTACAGGACAACCAGGTGATCAGGCTCAGTCAGCCTGGGTTTATGAGAGGCAGGCCCTTTACTTGACCAACCTGATCTTCTATGACCAGGTGACCTGCATAGTTGATGTGGGGAAGGCTGTGTTATCTACCTGGACTTCAGTAAAGCCTTTGACGTTGTCTCCCACAGCATTTTCCTAAGAAAGCTGATGTCTCATGGCCTAGGCAGGTGTACGCTTTTCTGGCTAAAAACTGGCTGGATGGCCGAGCACAGAGTTGTGGTGAATGGAGTTAAATCCAGCTGGTGGCTGGTCACAAGTGGTGTTCCCCAGGGCTCAGTCTTGGGGCTGGTCTTGTTTAACACCTTTATCAATGATCTGTATGAGGGTATCGAGTGCACCCTCAGTAAGTTTGCAGATGGTATCAAGTTGGGCGGGAGTGGTGAAGGGCCTGGAGAGCAGGTCTCATGAGGATTGGCTGAGGGAACTGGGGTTGTTTAGTCTGGAGAGGAGGAGGCTGAGGGGAGACCTGATCACTCTCTACAACAACCTGAAAGGAGGTTGTAGTGAGGTGGGGGTTGGTCTCTTCTCCCAAGTAACACGCAATAGGACGAGAGGAAATGGCCTCAAGTTGTGCCAGGGGAGGTTTAGATTGAACATCAGGAAAAATTTCTTTAATGAAAGAGTGGTCAAACATTGGAACAGGCTGCCCAGGGAAGTGGTGGAGTCGCCATCCCTGGAGGTGTTCAAAAAACGTGTAGATGTGGCACTTCAGGACATGGTTTAGTGGTCATCATGGTGTTGGGTTGACAGTTGGGCTTGATGCTCCTGGAGGTCTTTTCCAACCTAATGATTCTATGAAGTGAGGAGTACCACCTTGTTGTGCATTAAGGTTCCCCTGTTACTTAGTGAGTATGGTAGTACCAAAGGCATGACGTGATACCCACAAACAAAGCTGTTTCTTATCCCTTTACAGTAACATGCATGGTTTTATTTTCCTTTTCTTTCTTGATTTAATCTTAAAACAATAAAGCAGGAAGGACTGTTTGATCTTTCTGTATATACATGTTACTATGCAAGGCAAAATTCAAATGGTTCTACAGGCTTAGATCATACTGAGGTTGCCCTCATATCAGCTCCTGCTACCAATATCTGATTTCAGTCTCACTCAAGAAAGAGGCTGTTTTCTCGACTTCCAGAAAACTTACACCAAAATGCTAGGAAGAGTCATACTGTCGAGAAGAATGTGGTGGGTTGACCCTGGCCAAAATGCCAGGTGCCCACCAAAGCCGCTCTATCATTCCCCCTCCTTAACTGGACAGGAGAGAGGAGAGAAAAAAAATAACAACAGGCTTGTGGGGTTGAGATAAGGACAGGGAGATCACTCAGCATTTACCGTCACGGGCAAAACAGACTCAACTGAAAGGAAATATAATTTATTACCAATTAACTCAGAGAGGAGTGATGAGAAATAAAACCAAATCTTAAAACACTTTCCCTCCACCCCTTCCTCCTTTCCCGGGCGTAACTTTGATCCCGATTTTCCTCCCTCCTCCCCCCCAGCGGCACAGGGGGAAAACAGGGAATGGGGGTTGGGGTCAGTTCATCACTGTTGTTTTCTTCCTCCTCACGGGGAGGACTCCTCACACGTTTCCCCTGCTCCAATGTGGGGTCCCCCTCATGGGAGAAAGTCCTCCATGACTTCTCCAGCGTGAGTCTTCCCCACAGGCCGCGGGGGAATCACTGCTTTAGTGCCTGGAGCATCTCCTCCCCCTCCTTCACTGACCTTGGTGTCTGCAGGATGTTTCTCTCATGTATTGTCACTCCTCTCACTCGCTGCAATTACTGCTGCCCAACAACTTTTTCACTCCCTTAAATACATTATCACAGAGGCGAAAACGCTGTCGCTGATGGGCTCAGCCTTGGCCAGCAACGGGTCCGTCTTAAAGCCGGCTGGCATTGGCTGTATCTGACATAGGGGCAACTTCTAGGAACTTTGTACAGAAGCCACCCCTGTAACCCCCCCCACTACCAAAACCTTGCCATGCAGACCCGTTACAAAGAAAAAGGGGAAAAAAAAAAAAAAAAAGAACAATTCTTTCACTATTCAAGAGTGTTAGTTTTTGTCCTCAAGTGTAAAATCAAACAAAGCAACAAAAGTCATTGTAGGGTCTTCTTGTCAGGACTGCATGGTTTCTGAATACAGAGCCATGGTCAACTTCACAGACCTCTAGTGCCCCACCAGTTGAGTTTCAGCTGCAGGCTTTGTCCCTATAAACTCAGGCCAAATAAGACTGGCAGTGCTGTGTAAGAGGCTGACTGGCTGGCCTTTCCATTTCTTGTGCTCGGAAGGATAGGAATAAACTACATCAAATTAAACAACATCTGAAGACAAGAAGTAAAAAGACTTAACCTGTTTGCAAGGGTGTTATGTCCTGCTTCTTTGTGACTAAGCAGAAACACAGACAGTGAAAAACAGGTTATCACTGGGGCACCTGATCTTGCACTTCGCATTCCTTTGAGAGAAGGCAAGGCAAAATTACAGCATGAAACAGGAGCTGAAACTCTTACTGTCAAAATTTAGTTGTTGTTTTGTTGGCAGCTTAGAATAGTATAACCTTTTTTTTTAAAAAAAAAATGCTCAAATGATAACAGGAAATAAATTGGGAAAGTAACTCAAGGCTTCTTAGGTAACACCGGGTAGCAAGGCGCAGAACACACTGTCTCCAACCATCTTGGCATTCATAGGGGAATACAAAAAACAGCTGAGGACCTGCTCCCTGAGGATAAAGAGCTGTTTAGTGAACAAACTGATATTGCCATGCTGCTTTCAAGACACTCAAATCTTGCTTCCCGTTAAGAATGGATTGATTTCCTTTTCCTTCCACACCTGATATAGTTAGCTGAACCAAGCACAGGTTCACTGGTGGAGAATCTCATATGCCCTTAGCACTAATTCACTGGAAGCAGTGAACGTTTCTTATTACGTTGTGAGAGAGGCCACAGGGCTACACTGATCAGTTGCTTCTCAGACTGTGTGGTCAATGACTGAATCCAGTCCTAGCTGCAGCATCCTCAAACCTAGTGGAGAAGAAAGTGCTGTCCTTTTCTTCCAGGCAGCCTAGGAAGCCTGGAAGATGAAAGGACTCGCCAGCTCTCCTCTTGTACCTTGGCTATGCACCCACTCCATTTCCATGCTGTGTTATCAAACCATATATTTTGTCAGGAACACAGCATGGCCAAAGCAGCAGGTGTGGCCTTGGAAAGCTGCCCCTCTCCCCATTCTGGTGAGAGAGTCTGATGCAGGGACTGTAACTCCCAGCTACCTTACTCAGTTTCCATCTTTATTGTCCCCCTTCTTTAGGGGCCTTTACACTAAATCCAAGTAATTTTAATTCTGCCATAGAAAATCTTCTCTTTTGAGCCAGGAAACAGGAAGGCATCTCAAGAAATAAGGTACAAAATCTTCTACTCTCGGTATTTGCTTTTTCATGATTGTAATGAAGAAATATAGACCATAAACGTATAGTCCAGGAAGATCTGAGTGCCCATATCAAGATACCTGCTTTTGGATGTAGTTTTTGTCACCTCTGTTTTATACTGGGAGAGTGCAGACATAATTTCTGTGCCCACTATAGGTTGCACCCCGAGTTTCTGTGGTTGCTATATCAAGGTATATTGCAAGAAGCTTCTAGTAACAGCTTCACTGCTATTACAAATTGTTTGACCAAATCAAATGGCTTAGTTGTCCATCAAAAATAAGGTGCTTTCAGCAGAAATATGTATCTGGAGATAGTTTCCAGGCTGTACAAGAAAAGAATCCCCTGCTTTGGCTATTTCACTTCCCTTTGGGGGTAGTTCTTAGTCTCTTTGTGCTCTTTTTTTCTGTAATTATTGTACAATGTGAAATGCTTGAAGAGCATGAATCAATTATACTGTTGACATTTTACAGAAATTTTGTATTTCCTGTACAAATAAATGTGAGAAGGGTCAGTGGAGAGAGAGGTCTTTCATAGTTAATTAAATTTACAAAGAGATTGAAGGTATCTGTCTGTCTAAGGCCGTGTTGATACACACTTCAGGTTAATACAGTGCAACTAATCAATACAGCAAAATATAGCAAAAAATATATATTTTTTTAAGCAAGCCAACAAAGTACATGTTAATAATATTATGTCTTCTGAGTTTCCTATTCTATTTAACAGGGAGTAGTTAAAACTGTGCTTTAACCTCACAGTTGCTGTTCTGCCAGTGTGAAGTCACCCAGTTGTGGGAGTGCAGCCTTCTCTGAGACCTGTAACTGTGTAGAAGATGTACTCAGTTACACCTGTGAATTACAGATTTATCCTTGGAGTTTGAAACCTTAAATTAGTAATTCTTGTTTTCTAAAGAGCAGAACAAATGGCTTCCCAAAGAGTCAGTGGAAGGTACTCAGTGGGGAAATGTCTGCTTTACCAGAGGCTAGCCTCTGTTATACTAGCGGCATACTCGTGTGCCATTAATTGAAATTAAATTGCAGGTGCAACTGCAGGTAATTCCAAAGGTAAGGCCTTTTGGTTTTTCTCTTAGTTCTTACCAGGTTTCTTTTATTAATAAAGGATATTTGTTTTGCTTGGCTTTTCTCTTCACTGGAGAGCTCACCTGCTGTTTATTCACAACATGTACTTCTGGTCTTCCATGACAGCCCTTTCTTCAGTACTGGTAAGGCTCAAGCATCATTAAAAAGTTCTACCTGCTTTCTTTGTGTTAGCACAGATAGTGTCCTGGCCCTGGCATCGGAAACAATGGCTGTTCAGAAGAAATTCTGCTTGCGAAGAAGACGGGGCCTCTTTTTTTTTTTTTTTTTTTTTTTTTCTTTTTTCCTTATCATGAAAAAAAAAAACTATGGGAAATTTCTGTTGCTCAGATGTTCTTACTGCATTATTTTTTCTTCTTCCTCACACTTACACCCGTTTTCTCCTCTCCAATGTTCTCAAAACATCAGCAATTCGACTGATACTTCCAGGGTTTGTTATTTACTAGGAAGTCCTTCCATGCTGTGTAAGTCTGATTTACACTGGGTAGCAGATCATCAACACTACTAGCAGCTTACAGTTTCAAAGCTGAATTGTTAGGTAGTAATATCTGAACCTATGAATTTATGATGTCTCTAAGGTCCATCACATTTTGTCTAAGTTCTCTGGGGTTTTTTTTCTATGGCTTTAGGTCTCTGAAATTGATCCAGAAAAATTTTCCAGTAGAATAGAGTGTGAAAGTCCTAACAACGACCTCAGTTGCTTCCGAGGCTTTGTGTAAGTAGGCTTGGTGGCTCTTTATTGTCATTTGCTTTGATGCTCTTCCTAATTTTCAGAGAGCTTGTGATGTTTGCTTTAAAAAATAATGACAATATGTATAGAAGTCAGTTTGCACTACATTTCTTTCTGAGTGCAGCCCAGCAGATGGAGCTCCAGAAGGGCTTTCTGAGCAGCAGGTTGTGGACTGGGAAAGCCCACTAGTTCTTTTTATATTGTGTTGAATATTTTCAACATCTTAGTTCAGGCTGTTTTGCAATTGTGTATTCTATATTTGAAATAGCTCTTTCAAATCTGCTCGTAATAACATGTGATATCTACAGTATTTGGTCTGGACCATGGCCTGATTGGCCAAGCTGCATTGCTCGAGATTGGAAATGGGACGCATGGGCTTCCTCTCCTACTCTCATTTGTTTTGTGTAACCATCAGTGACTTGATCAAATTCCTTTTGACCAATGTGCTTATCTGTGTGTTTTCTTCTTATAGGTTTATGATTTTTCTATAGACAGTAGGAAAACAAAACACTTTCATGGGGTGACTGATTCTCAGTTTTGAGAGTTACAATGTCTGCATTCTTCCCTATGGGCACCGACACGTTAGCAATATGAAAATAAAAATAGATATATATGAATCTTAGTCTCTGAGGAAACACCTTGACAAACAGTGGGCCTACCTGCACTGAAAGTATGCCACAGGAGTAACAATACTCACAGTATATTTAAAATGGGATTTAAGATTTTGTTTGAAATTTTTCCAATGTTGGTAATCCAAGTAGAAGTCTCAGGTTTTCAGACTTCCAGTGTTTACCTTGAGCTTTTTTCAATAGTGTTGCATACTTCTCATATGCCAGCTGGCAAATGCTAGAATTGTAAACACAAGAAAATTTTAATACAGTGCCTACGTGCCTGGATTTTCAAAGGTGATCTGCATGCTTGTTACCCTATTCTTTTGAAAAGTCCAATCGGAAATGTCAGAATGGCAGTCAGTGACTAGCAGCTTCTTTGGGAAATCTGCTCCCTAATGGTTTTGCAAAGCCTGACTGGTAATGGCTGGAGTCCTATAGCTGAAGTAATGTGCTTTTTTTTCAGTGAGCATTCAAACAAGGATCGAGTGGGCCTTAGCAAGGAGAACTTACTGCTCCGAGGATGCACAGTGAGAAACACAGAAGCTGTTGTAGGCATAGTGGTATATGCAGGTTAGTGAACCACACTGGCTTTTACAGATCGCCTTGCGAACAAGAGAGACTTACGTGCCCTAAGAAATGGTATCGTACAAAGGGCAATTAGGAGACTAAAAGATTGAATCCAGCAGAAGGCAGCTGTAGCTAGAAATGTTAACAGTGCATGTCTGGATTAAGATTGTTGCTATTTTAACAATGTAAAGAACTGATAGGTCTGATGATTCACGGGAGGGCGGCTCTGTTCTGTGTGAACAGGTCCTTGTCCTCGGCTGTGAGTTGCGATGGTAAACCCAGGTTTTTAAGTGGACATGGAGATGTGTGGCTTGTTTAGGATCTTTTGCTGATCCAAAACTGAAGCTGGTGCTGTTCTTCAGTGTTTTGATACATCAAAGGGCAGAGGTTTTTAAACTAATCAATATGATGTATCCAGCCAGACAGTTGTAATGCAGGTGCAGGATTTTGTAAAAATACTAGCAATGATATAGAAAACATCAAGAATAACATTGTTTCTATAGGAAGGAATATTATTGACCATGCAAAAGTTAATGTGTATGTGACAGATTTTTGTTTAGCTTGTTCAGTTTTCTTTAGGACAAAATTCACATGTATTTTAGGAGCTGTTAGTTTGCTCCTATTTATAATCTCTGTTCAAATATTAGTTATCAGAAATGTCCTGTTTTCCAGAGCTTTAGAAATATAAAGCACTTGCGGTTCTGATACCTGCTATTGGAGAATTTCAACCTGTGTTGTGATTATAGGTCATGAAACCAAAGCCATGCTCAATAACAGCGGCCCTCATTACAAGCGCAGTAAATTGGAAAGAAAAGTGAATGCTGATATTCTTTGGTGTGTTCTGCTTCTAATTCTAATGTGTTTAACTGGTGCAATAGGTAAGTGAGAATCGTCAGACTCCTGCTATTTTCCTCTCTCAGCCTACAATGCTTAGTGTTTTAATTTGGGGCTGATTCATTTTAACAGCCCGTCTCGGAAACTGCTTTTATCCATGTGTAATTCCCTAGCAGTTAGGGGTGCTGCCAGGTTTTAGTTCATGTTGTCGTGTTTAATCTGGAGTTTGGTCAAGAGGTATGTTCCTGGTGCGAGTTCTTGGGTCTGGAACCTGTTTCTCAGATTTATTTTTCTTTTCTCTCACTAATTGCTCTGCAAAACTCCTACTTTCTCTTAGGATTTTTCAGGTACCATGAGATGCATGTACAACATTGTAGGGAGAGGCCTAGTGTGACTAGAGTTGTAAGGACTTGATATTTTAAGGATTGTTTAGATAGCGAGCTTGAATAAATCTAAACAGACTAACTTTTATGACAAATGAAAAAGGTGTTTAAAACATGTTAAAAAAAACTTCTTCAGACTACACTTAATAACAATGGTGACATGGTGTCACAGGTTAACTAGAACCTGGACAAGCAAGGATAATACAGTTATTTGCCAGAGGTGTTTCTGGGGAAAAAGTGTTTATCAAATGTGGTTAGTATTCCTTTAGTACTGAGATACGCTGTATAGGTGTGCTGTTGATAGAAATGCATGTAAGGTATTCATTCATGTGTGCATTGATGATTAATTAATTTTAATGGGCTTCCTGTTGAGGATAAACTCAAGAGACCAAATGTTAGTTTAAAAGTTTACAAGGAACTGCGGAGTGTAACAGGTAACACCATGACCCTGACTGACTCACTTTTATCTTGTTGTTTTCAAGGCCATGGAATTTGGTTAAGTACATATTCGGAAATACCATTTTTTAACATCCCTGAGCCAGATGGGAAATTGATTCCTCCAGCATTAGCAGGATTCAATATGTTCTGGACGATGATAATTTTATTACAGGTAAATTTGATCTGCTTTGAGCATGGGTCATATTCTGGTCTCATTTATATCCTTGAAATAACTCTTCAGCTTCAGTAGAGCTATTTTATATTTGTAGCTGGCCAAAGAGTTTGGTTTTATTTAATCCTCATGTTTTATTTTGGTAGGTCTTGATTCCAATTTCTCTCTATGTTTCAATTGAAATTGTCAAATTGGGCCAAATTTATTTAATACAGAACGACATTGATTTTTACCATGAGAAAACAGACTCAACAATTCAGTGTCGAGCACTGAATATTGCTGAAGACCTTGGCCAGATTCAGTATATCTTCTCTGACAAGACTGGAACCCTCACTGAAAATAAGATGGTTTTTCGGAGGTGCAGCATTGCAGGACAGGAGTATTGCCATGAAGAAAATGGTAAGGCACTAAACCTGTGTTCACAATGGGTCATTTTTCTCTTCAAGAAGCTGAAAGTTTCAATAGGGGTCCACTGGACTTGTGTGGCAATGCACACTCACAGAAGATAGGAATTCAGACTGATAGCTGTGCATCTTTCCCCATTGTTTGAATCCCTTCATGTATAGTGTGTTAAGAGACTTGCAGGCTTTATGTAAGGTGCTGCTTTGCAGCTAGTTAAGTTCCAACATACTTGATACCACACAGAAAACATTATTTACTTGCTCTGGAGGTCTCCCCAGAGCCTTCTTTTTTCCAGGCTGAACCAGCCCAACTCTCTTAGCCTGTCCTCATAGGAAAGGTGTTCCAACCCTCAACCACACCACTCTGCTTAGTCTCATCAAACACATATCTTACACACCTGTTTATTTTTAGCCAAAAAGTCAACAAGTGGTGTTACTCAGTAGTTGCTGTCCAATTGTCTAATTGTGTAGCATCTTTCAATATACATTTCGTGAGAGCCTACTTGAAGCCTTCTGGGAGCCAGGAGAAGATACAACTCCAGACACAAGAGAAAACTGGGCAGAGGGACATGAAGTCTGATTCAATTAAGTATTTTATTAATTAGATAAAACCACCAAGTTTTTATTACCCTTACTGTATATAAGTACGGGCTGCAGACATTTGGTAGTTTTCTGGTGGGCAGTGCAAGTATTCTGTGTGAGACCAAAGGAGAGGTGCTGACAGGATGGACACATGAAGCACAGCTGTATATTAACCACCCTTTGTGGTTTTGCTGCCAGATAGAGCTGCTCACAACTGCGAGCAAAAGGCATGCCCTGCTGGCCACAGCAATGAATCAGTTCAGCCCTTCTTTTGTTGTGCCACAGGAGCAGATGGTTACAAACCATTTTTACATTTCTGCTCATATTTTGAAAATTTTATAGTGTGGGTGTCCAAGTGCTTCTTTGGCTTTGCATAATTGTACTGGGAAGCTTGACAACAGTAAAGTGAGAGGAAATATTCTTAACTTTTGAACTTGGCGCATGAGCAACTTAAAAAGTAGAATATGTTTTCAGAGCATTTCCTAAAGGAAAGAAATGTATTTCAGAAGAGATAAACCGAAGGGTAGTGCGAATGATGTAGCTGTGACTGATCCAGGTCTCGCTGTGCCAGGGAAAGTATGTCTACTATTACTTCTGCTTGTAGTTCACTTAGAGTTATCTTCCAAAAATATTAGTGTGTTAATTATCTTCATAATTATTTTATGCTATGCCCTGTCTTTTACCTGGAGGGTAAGCATGTGCTTCTTCCTAACAAATCTAAAAGTTATGTGAGCCCTGAAAATCAGTTTGAAAAATGTTGCAAGTCCTGTGTTTTATACCTGTTTTACATTTGTTCAGTTGCGTAGAGCTGCTGTTTGTAAGGCTTCTGCTACATACAGTAAGAGTTGCAGTGCAAGACAGCACAGTCTTCTGCATACAAGCCACTTAGTCTGTATATGTATTTCTGTGTTTATATCTGTATTGCTCAGGGTAAAGGGACGCACATGAGGGAGGCACGCAACAGCAATGACTGTGATTCAGTATAATCTTCCGTATAGGTGCCCCCATGCGGTATTCTGTCTAAAGTAACATGTGCCTTGGAGCATGGCAGCGGAGCAGCATGTTCCTTCAGACAGAGCATGCGGGCTTCTCGGCAGCCTGGAAGCATAGAGGAATGGGCATGTGTTGTCCAAACCTGCCTCTACAACCACATACTGAGTCACGGTTGCTGCTTTCTGGTAAAAGGTGTCAATACCACGTGTAGGATATCGTATTTGGTAGTTATGGAGAACCGCAGTTTGTTATGTTCTCCCATATCTTTTGTTTAAAAGAGCTGTTTTATTAAATTCATGTTGACGTCAGGGAGGTGGCCTGCCAAGGAAGGTATAAGCTGTGGTCTCCCTGCTTTCCTTCGACTCATCAGAATGGCAGGATGAGGGACAGGAGGCTTTCATTTATGTTCCAGAAAGAGAAGACAACAGGAAATAAGGAGAACTTAACAGGTTACAAGTACCGTAGCTCATTTCCTGAACATAACAAGGCTCCTGTGCTTTGGCTAGGAGGAAAAGGACTCACAAGTGACACAATAAACCTGTTCCCGTCTCATTTTCTGCGTCACCGCTGGGGACTCAGAACTGTGGATAGCTTTCCAGTTCGTATAAAACAGAATAATATCCCACTTTTCACTTATTTCCTGTACAGTAGCTGCTACTTTAAGTAAGAAAAAAATAGGGACTTAGTGGTGTTGCAGGAGATGTCTGTATGTTAATATTGGTTTTTTCTAGGATGTCATTGTTTGTATTCACACTTTACTGAAATAAATAGTCAATGCACAGCTCTCAGAACAGGTTTTCCATGCTGTCTGTGGATGCAGGCTTTGAACTGCTAGTGTATGCTTATTGCATGCTCTTTTCACAATAACGGATTAAAACTTGAAAGCTGAATAGTTCACAGTGATCCAGTGCTGACTGGATTCACACTGCAACCTCTTGCATGTGATCAAACACTATCGCAGTACTCCAGTGCAAACACTTTCTACAGTCGTTCTTTACACCACTGGTCTTCCTAGCTAGATTTGTCGGGCACAGAACTGCATTTATGTCTTCAGTGCAAAGGTGTTAGACATGCGAATACAAAGTTTTGTTATTGAAACCTGCTTTTCAGTTAAATCCTCATAAAATGTGTATGTGTGTGAGGGGGTGTCCAATACAGAAATGATATGAAACACACTTTCAATGAGCTCCTACTAGAAGCTGTACTAGTCAAACCACTAGCATACAATCCTAATCCATCATAAAATAAGTAAGATAGAAAACGTATCAGGAGGTGCTCTAGTGCCATTGCTCTGGCCTCAGGCAGAGTTGTTGCTATCATTCTTTATGAGTGGTTTTTTTTTTTTTTTCTTCAGGACCTCCACTGGTGTCCAGTTCACTGTTTTTCCAGGTGTTCTGTGCTAGTATGTCATGTCTTCTCTGATGAAGTTTTGCTGATACCTAGCCTGAGTCTCTCTTGCCACAATAAAGTACAGTTGTATCTTCTGTTACCCACAGCGCACACAGAAAACAGGCTATTTCTTTTCTCTATGCAATAGCCCTTCATGTACTTCAAGACTATTATTTGGCCTTTATCAATGTGCCCTTCTGGAGACTGTGTAACTCCAGCTTATTTTATTGTTTACATGCAGCTCGTGCTGTCTAGAACCCTGATCATTCTTGCTCCCTTTTCTGGATTCAGTCCACTTGAGTGTTGCTCTTGAAGTGCAGTGTCCCAAACAGGAAGTCTGTGTGATGGCTTGTTACGGGTTTTATTTTTCATAAGTGGTGGATTGTTCTTAACTATATATTGAATTTCTTACTTTAAAATTTTGTTTCCTGAGCCTCCAGGGAGTGTTTTATACAACTTTCTTTTTGCTCATGGAACAGTAATTCTGTTTCCCTTTCCATAGCAAAGAGGTTGGAATCCTATCAAGAGGTGGATTCAGAGCATGTGGATTCAGCTGATTGTCAGTGTGGCTCTTCGACCCATATGTCAAAATGGCAAGGGCACAACTGCAGAGCTGTGACTGAACCTTTGAACAGAAAGCCTTTGAATCAGTTGTCTGGTAGTTACCCTGCATTAGGAAGAGAAGGTGGAGCAGGTGATGTTCCCCACTCAGGACACGTTGCTTTCAGCAGCCCCATTGTAAGTAAAAGCTGTTGGTTTTGATGCTAAATTTCTGAAGTAACTCATGGAGGAATATCTTTTTACCCCAATTTGATCAGAGTGCTTGTCATTTAAGAAATCCTTTCTCTTTCCCATCAAAACCAGAGCCTCCCATGATTGCTTGGCTGCATCCTACTTGCAGTTGATGTTGCAGGTGTTTGTTGAGTCACGAAGGTGTATGCTTTGGTTCTTGCTGCTGTGAGTCAGTGATCACTCCAGCTAAAATGACAGCTGCATCTTAATAACAGTGATGACCAATATTTATTGGAGGTTACAAGAGGTATAAACTGTGCTTCTGTCCCTGAAGGTGTCTAAACAGCATTCATTGCATTTAGTCTGTTGGAGTGTCTGTAAACTAAGGCTGTACTGTCTGCCTGTCTGGCCATAGAGTTTGCTATTTTCCACAAGGCAGTGAAGACACCAGAGTGTTCCTTTATTTCCTGGTATAACCAACTCACCATCTGACGGGAAGGAAGTTATATGAGCTTCTACACTTCTGTCATCTGTAACTGATTTAACTTCCAGAGACTGAGATTAACCTTATATCCTAATGGACAGTTTTGTTCATTTCATCAATAGGAAACAGATGTTGTACCAGACACACGACTGCTGGAGAAGTTCAGACAAATTTGTTCTCATTCCTATCACCAGTCAGAAGAAGCCAGCAGCAAGTTACCTTTGGAGACAATGTACATCACTGACTTCTTTCTTGCTCTGGCAATCTGTAATACTGTTGTAGTTTCAGTCCCCAATCAGCCACGTCAGAAGGTAAGAAGGCCTTATTTTTGTCTGTTTGGCCACATTAATAAATGAACGAGCTCCTTTTGGTTTGATTACAAAAGGAAAAAAAATTAACTGGCATTTAAAAAGTTATCCTTTTCTCCTCTATTGGTTTGTTGTTTTAAAAAGAAGGGAATTACTGTAAACTCAGGGAGTGCAGTGCGTTAATGTGTAATATAATGCTGGTAATGTTTTTCTGATGCAGAAGAACTTGGCTTCAGTATTTTTGCTTGTGTGTATAGGCTTTTTGTGACTTTTACAAGACAAATTTTGAGATTAAATTGAAATGGTGATTTTTTTAAATTTTTTTTTTCTGTATTCTAGTTATCTTTTTCCAGGTAAGTGCATAGCTTCCTTTAAGAGTACTCTAGTACTCAGCTTACCTTTACAACGTGGTTATTGTGGCCTGAAAGATCAGAAACTCAGAAAACTCCCAGCATATTGGAACTGAAAATGCTCTTACCTGTTCGCTGACTATTCAAATAGAGTTTCAGCAAAAGTGTGGAAGATCAAGTTTCATATGTGTACTCATCTGAAGAAAAAATGCGTTGCAGTATGACATAAAGTGGTCTTACCTGGAACATACAGTGCACTTGCTAGACTGTCCTGGTTTAATAGTCTGGAATGTGTTTAAGTCTTCCTTCTCAAGACCACTTGTTGTTTTCAGAGCATACAACCTAACGTTTATTTAAAGATAGTAGTATCCTTTTCAAATCTTTTTTTTTTCTTTTCAAGGTAGGATTTTCATAACCCCAGTTTTTACCAATTTGGCTGTGTTGTACGATAATCCCCAAGTTCAGCTTTGATTTCCTGTCCCCCATCCCCTGGTGGTTTCCAGTTGTTGACTTTGTCTTTTGAAAAAAATGTTTGTGATGTACAGGACTAGATTTTGGTGTCCATGTAGGTAGTGAACCTACACAATCATGGCTAGAGACATCCCCAAAAGGTGTCCTGTGGAGTATAAAGAACCTCCTATGTATAAATAAGCCTGGTATTTTAGTGTGCTTCCAGGCATTCCTAGAAGGCGTGGTAGGCAGCGTACAGGTGCCTGTGTGGATGGGCAGCTGTGTTCATATTTACTAATCTGCCATTCCTCAGAGGTGATGTAGAAAAATACACAGGCGAGATTCTCATTTTTTTTTGAGAATAATATCTCTGGATGACTTGCTTGCAGGTCACTAGTAGGTGGGTTGGAGGGGCAACATGGCATGAGATTTCTGAGTTCACAATTAGGGAATGACATGAAAGAGCTCAAGGCAATGGAAGGTTTCAGCATTGCTTTAGGGGAGGTAATGAAAGAATTATTTCCTAGTCCCTCTTTCCTTGATGCTGAATGGAGGTGCACCACAACTTGCGTGCAATGCAGTAGAACTAAAGCCAGAGTCTGTCCTTACTTTATGCTTTTCAGTGGCAAAGGAGAACATGCTTCCTGGTGATAACTCATTCTTAACTCTTCACCAGTAATGAGAAATGGATGTCAGCCTTGCATGCCTTGTTCCTCATTTGTAAGCTGTTATAAATAACAGTAAGCCAATTCTTTTGTAACATTGATGAGAGGGGAACTGTCTTTTGTTTTAAATTCAAACATTAAAAAGTATTGATAAGGTACTGTATTTTTGACAGTACTTGTAGCTAGTTACTGTGAAGAGTATGGAGTTGTTTTATTCTTCACAAGTATCTTGCTAATAATTCAGAACAGGAATTGAAGCGTTTCGTTCCATTTGCCACAACTTTTAAAAGTTATAAGATCGTAGTGTTTCATTACTGAAACAGTTCTAAAGAGAACAAATACATGGAGTCATGAATCAAACTCTGAATGCATACAGTTTTCAGATCTGAAGTATTTTTACAATTTTTTTGCTTTGAAAAATGAAGCTCTTACAGAAGCTCGTTAGTGTACTCATGGCTATATGTTTAATTGAGCTGGCTGTCTTTTATACAAGCAATCAAACTCAGGGTGAATTTTAAAATACTACGCTCATTAAGACAGTTTGTAAGTTGTCTTCCTTTAGTGTAATAGAATATGAGGAATTTAACATAAATCCTTTCTCTAACTATTCTGTTCCAGATGAGACACTCTTCGCTGGGTAGGATGCCTATTAAATCACTTGAGGAAATCAGGCAGATGTTCCAGAGGTTGTCAGTCCGGAGACTAAGTTCCTCCCCTCTTCCAAGTGTAAAAGAGTCACCATCTGAAAGCCCCAATAGTTTTGTGAGCAAACTGTCTATTTTCAGAACGAAACTGGCTTCAACTGCTTTGGATGGAGCTTCTCAAAGGGCTGCTGAGCCTCACAGTACTGACAGCCCAGAAAATTCTCACATGCCTCAAGAACTAGATGTGGTGAATGTAGCTGCTGGCTGTGAACACAACAGCACTGCGTCATCTGTTGAATTGTCTCCCTTACCTAAACTATGTTATGAAGCTGAGAGTCCAGACGAGGCTGCCCTCGTTCATGCTGCTAGGGCTTATAAATGTATTTTACAGTCTAGGACTCCAGATCAAGTAACAGTGGACTTTGCGGGTCTGGGATCTTTAACGTTTCAACTTTTGCATATCCTGCCTTTTGATTCAGTGCGGAAAAGGATGTCAGTGGTGGTTCGGCATCCAGTCTCCAACAAAGTGGTGGTGTACACAAAAGGTGCAGACTCGGTCATGATGGATTTGTTGAGAGCTGCTCCTGAAGGTATCTACAGACCTTCTAATTCTTTGCTCACCTTTGTCATTCTTCAGTACAGTTGAACGGATGGCCTGATTCATGACAAGAGAATAACCTTGCGGAACTATTATATGTGAATAGTTCCTTATAGGGAACTCAGAAAGGTAGTGTTGCTTGTCACCTGGATGTGGCTGGTGTGGAAACTGAGAAGAGAAAAGCAGCTGTTGTTCGAAGGATTAAGCGCTGTCTAAGCAGACCCGTTGGAGCCAACTGAAGTATCTCCAGTTATAAATTAACGTCATCTACTTGAATAGTTGGCTTCTGCTAAACAGTGAGAGGTGGTGTTAGAATGAGAGACTACCCTTTACTTGTGTTAGTGTTTCTGAGCTGTTGGAGAGAGGTGTCAGTAGCAGATGTCACTTATAAGTGCTTTTTGAATTTCCCTTGACTACTGACTATTTCTCTGTTTCTAGGTATAATAATAATATCTACTACAAAGTTTTGTGGTGCCTCCTGCTGGGCCCTGTTGTTTGAGAGTAAATATTTTTTCAGTCTGCCACAGAAGGAATGCACCATGTTGTTTTAGCACTAACTGATTTATTCATAGACTGTAGCAAATAGTCATTGATTTTAACTGCAGGCCGTAAAGAGAAAGTGTTATCTGTGTATGTTAGAAATAAATACCTAAATATATTTAAGTTCAGAAGATGTTCCAAGGGGTTTTTTTAATGGTTTGGAAAGTAATGTAAAGGAATTATTTTTAAAGGCTTGCTTTCATAGAATGATAGAATGGGTTGGGTTGAAAGGGACCTTAAAGACAATCTAGTTCCACGCCCCCCGCCATGGGCAGGGAAACCTTCCACCAGCTCAGGTTGCTCAAAGCCCCATCCAGCCTGACTTGAACAGGCTGCCAGGGAGGGGGCAGCCACAGCTTCTCTGGGCAACCTGGTCCAGGGTCTCCCCACCCTCACAGTGAAGAACTTCTTCCTAATATCTAATCTAAATCTCCCCTCTTTTAGTTTGCAACCATTACCCCTCATCCTATCTCCACCCTCCCTGATCAAGAGTCCCTCCCCACTTTTCTTGTAGGCCTTTTTCTGCAAAAGGGAGTTTGGTTTGTGTGTTCCATGGCTGACTGATCTCAGTGAGGAAGAGGGGTATTTCCAGTTCCAGGGATGGATTTTAACTCACCCAACATTAGCCATCTGAAGGCTAGACAAAAAGCTTCTGTCGGCCAGGGGGCAGAAATAGTACCTCCAAAATCTGTAGTCTTAGTAGGAGGGTAATTTAATGTCTGGAGGGGCCTGTCCTTTGATTCTCAAAGTAAACTTGGAACCTAACTTCTGCATGTCCCAGGTTAGGTGAGTTGAATGCCTCTCTGAATAGTCCACCCCTTAACAGCTATTTTTAAAAAAACCTTTTCTGCGACTGCCCTTTTAGCTCCTCCCACTAGACCAGTGGCAGTAAAGCTGCTTGGGTGTCTGTGACCCAGTTAATTTCAGAAGATCATTTTATTTTAGAAATGCATTTTGATATACTAGTGGCATCCAAAGATGTATCAGTATCAGATGGATTCCCCTTCACTGGTTGTGCAGACTGGCACACTGCATGCTCGCCATAGATATAGCCACAATATGTTGTGCAAACATGAAGGTACATTATAATTGTTATAATTACACCATTAACATTTTGGTATTTTTAAAATTTATTTAGACCTTCAGAATTTTCCACTAAATTTAGCCTAAGAATGCGTATTTAATTCACTTTCTTTGCTTTTTGTGTGATAGTAGGTACTAGTAATTCAGAAATGGAACAAAAGAAGATTAAAGAGAGAACTCAGAAGCATTTGGATGACTATGCCAGAAGAGGACTGCGCACTCTGTGTATTGCTAAGAAGGTATTTCTTTTAATGCACATTTTTAAAGAATGTTTACAGTCTGTGACCAACCTGAGTGGTATCTCCAATGGAGCAGACATCGTGGCTTCTTAACAAATGCTTCCATTGCCACATTTTGTTTATCCTTATGTTTTTTTCAGGAGGAATTTGTAAGTTGACCCAAATCAATTCCTGACTTCCGTTAGGTTGCCATAGTTGCTGTTAGTTTAGGGTGCCAAGCAGCTTAACAGCCCAATTGTAATACAGAGGTTGTCAAATAGCCTGATTTTTCTTCAAAAGTCCTGAGCAGGTCTCCTTCTGTGGAACTTACCCTAGTTGGAATTCCAGACATAGAAAACAAATGAAGTCAGACCTGTTGTATTGGGTTTCACAAACAGTTTGCAGTGTTACAAGCTCTGGATGCAAAACTTAAGTGATATTTTGAGATTCCATTTTAAATTCAAAGCTGCTCAGAAGTAAAAATTCCATGGAGATTGAAACAGGCAAGAAACCTCTTTATGAAGCCTTATGCAAAGCAGAAGTACAGGCTGTGGAGCTCTGTAGTCATCAGGCCGTACAGAGCTGTACAGTGATTCTGTGGCTGTGTCAATGCTGCAATTAAAGAGCAGAAGGGAGAGTATACTGTGCTGACTGGCCTGCCTACCTTCTGTCCAAATGGAAATCTGCCAGGCAGCCCCAGGAACCTGCAGGGTGCTGGTGAGTAACCTGGCTTGTGAAGCGTGGCAAAGTAATCTGACACTCTGAACGTCGTACTAAATCCATGGACGTGCTGGGGCGACACGTAAGTAATGCACTGCCAGGGGCTGGGCGTCTAGGTTCGGTGTGTGGACAGCAGAAGCAACTGTGAGGACGCTTTGAGGTGCCTTTGAAAACACAATATAGATACATGCCGTGTGTTTTCTCTCCCTCTGTAGGTGATGAGTGATGCAGAATATGCAGAGTGGTTAAATCATCATTTTTTGGCAGAAACCAGTATTGATAACAGGGAGTCGCTGCTGCTCGAATCTGCCATCAGGCTTGAGACTGAACTATCTTTGCTCGGTAGGTAGAAAATGCTGTAACTCCTAACTCCCAGGAAACTGCTTATGATGTTCATCATTGGAATTTACCTGCAGAGAGCTGTGCTAACCTTGTTTTGTGTAACACATAGCTTTCTATGGACCTAGAATTTATTGTCACTCCTGAATTTTCATAAATCTTGCCGGTAAATTTGTACGAGTTATAAAACACACTGAAGACAGCTAGTGCTCTTCTATTGTTTGTAAAAGGTAAAGTGGCACTGATTTTTTTGGGTTTTACTGTGTTTCTTTTTTGCACTCACTAGAGTTCTTAAGTGTCATCATAATAAGCATATGAAATGATAATAACAAATCATAGGCCTGCCTGGGCAAATAGTCACAGGGATCCCACTTCTGGGCAGGTTTTCCATCAGTGTCACATTTGCGGCACAGCAGGTGTGCTTGTGCTGTGTCCTCCTGTAATAACATGGAGATAAGAAGTCAGGCGTGCTTCTGCAAGAGGCATTCCTCTGATGGTCATGCAGCTGTGCAGAAATGGGGAGGCCAAAACAAAATGAAAAATGTTTGATGTAGATGTGTAAAAGGTAAACTGCAGGCAGTCTGGGGTAATAGATCTAGAGCACTGCAAAGGTCTGACTGTGAGTAAAGGCAGCTCATGCTGAAGAGCAACAGATCCTGTTGTCTGGAAAGGTGTTAACTTCCCTCATTTTGTGCCACATCTGCTCAGGGCAAATGTCACAAGTCTTGATACTAAAAGGAATTCTGGGATCACTGGCTTCAGTTTCTGGAGAGAAGCCAGAGCAGTGCTGCTAGCTGCTGTAGTTTCAAGGGATGATGTGCTCTACAGGTACCCTTTTGCACTAGAGTCAGCAGAGGGAAGTCTGGTTGCCATGCAGACCTGCTGTCCTGCAGGCCAAGGCATTTTTTTTGTCTCATGTCTCTGGTGGGACAGTAAGCAATACGGGTTGGCCCTAACATTCAACGGGAGTGAGAATGAGAAGCGTAGATGGCTTCATACTGCTGAGGTGCGTGCTTTCAGTACCTCTGCTAGCTTAGTTACCTCTGCCTGGGGCATATGTGCATTGTGATCTGCAGAGCAGAACTACTTACAGCACTTCTCATTCTGCTTCTCTGAGCCTTCCTTTGCTTTCTTAATAGACATTACCTGGTGTAAGTGCAGCTGTAACTCTGACTGTCCTCTTAGGATGGAGGAATGAAGACTTTGCCCTCAGAGAACAACAAGCAAAAATTCAAACCATCTCAGTATTGCCAGGATCATGGAGGACAGCAGTGGTTTGTAGTCCACTGCGTAGGCAGGTGTGAAATCCATATGGCTATATATAAAGCCTCAGGCCTTTATTTGAAGGGAAATCTATTTCTGGAAAGAATAGCCCTAATGTGCAGTACTTGGCTAAGCACAGATCTAGATCTCAGCAGTGTACGTACTGAAACTGGCTTCTGTTGGATTACAGAGTGATCAAGTACCTCAGAAGGGGAGTGTTAAGTGTATAAAGTGCCCAAGTTGAAATCTCTTCCCTCGATGCCTGGCAGTGTCTCTCAAAGAAGCTTACATCAAATAGATCCCAACACCTTACTTCCTGTCTCTTTCATTGACTTGCATCAAAATGCAGGCAGAGTGCAGAGCAAGGACCTGGAGGTTTTCGTCTTCCCAGTGAGCAGGGCTATGAGCTTTGTGTCCTGTTGGCACCTACTTACTGAAGAAATCACTGTAGCGTCAGAGATCTGCCTGACCTTTTGGCTTTTACCCATCCCCGTATGACAGTCAGTGCTTTAGATACGAATTGCTGGCTAGAGTCCTGCACTAGAAACATACTAGGAGGGAAAACTTTTCCTTTGAATTTTTTTATTGTTTGTCTTTCAGAATGAACCTAGCTGCAACTAGCTGAAGTTTCTTTCTGTGAAGCTCTGTTAGCCTGAGAATCCCACAAGCTGAACAATGTCTCCTGGTTATGATTTAGTACCATTTGTCTTGTGAAAAAGCCATGAAAATATCCTGTACCGTAGTAAATCACTTGCACTGCAGCTTTTCAGAGGTGGTTCTGCTTTATGCTGGTGTTGTGTTACCTCATTGTTAACCAGAACAGATTTCGTAAGCTGGTTTTAGGGACACAGGTCTGCCTGCTGTGCACACCAAAAAATAGGATGTCTCTGTTAAAAAAAAGAAGTGCAGAGACTTTAAAAAATCTTTCTATAACCACTAAGGAGGGTGTGTTAGAGCAGATGTTTCCTCCCTGTGAGGGAGTATGTCAAGGTTGGCAACGCAGGCAGGAGAAAGGGTAAAACACAGAGTTTAGTGCTGTGAGGTACCGCAACAGGAGGTACTGCAGCGATGAGTCGTTGAGAAACCTGATGATGAATGGCAGGTCTTTGCAGCAGTGTGCAAAAATATGATATAAGAAGAAGAGATTTTGATGTGGAAAAGGTGAAGGCTTGGGACAAGAGGTACAGATTTCAGCCTGGAGTAGAGTTGGGAATAAGGTAAAGAAGTGGACCTTGAGGTAGAGGGGATCGAGGTGATACATGAAAGAAGGTTTGGAGTAGTGTGAGGTAGGAGAGAGTGGGGATAATGGAGTATGTTTGTCGTGAGAAGCCTGGGAGTCTGTGTTCAACAGCCTCTACGGGATGAAACAACCGTGTGAATGAGTAAGGTTGGCTTAAAAGGGTCTTGTGAAGAAGCGGAGGCCCATGAGGCTGTGATGAGGGTATGTGTCAGCAATCTCGTGTGTGATGGGTTCTGGGACAGAAAGATGTGGAAGGAATTCCCAAGCGTGTCCCAGTAGGGTGTCTGTTTCAGGCTGTGGATACACACAGGGATGCCATCTTGTCCTGTCACTTTGTGATGTTTTGGTTTTGGAAATACAGCAGCAGTAATCCTTCTTGTCTAAATTAAGGTGCCACTGGCATTGAAGATCGCCTGCAGGAGGGTGTTCCAGACACAATACAGGCACTACGGAAAGCTGGAATAAAAATATGGATGCTGACAGGTGACAAGAGAGAGACAGCTGTCAACATCGCCTATGCTTGTAAACTGCTGGAACCAGATGACAGAATCTTCACTCTCAAGTCACAGAGTAGGGTGAGTGGAAAATTACACTTTTCTTCTGTTTATTTTTTTTTCTCTGCTAAAAAGTTCAGTCAGGCTATATCACAGGGCAATATGGGAAACTAAAAGGCTCTCTGCTTTCCCAGCTGACCAAAGACATCATGGTTTCTTGGAAGATGAAAATACTGGAAAACTGATGGTTTGCTTCCTTGCGGGTAAAATATGAAATCCTTTCTACATATGTCACATCTGTTTCTTTATATACAGTCACTAAATGATGATTAATTATTTTCATTGGATAGATTGCTTAATTTCTCCTTGTGGTAGGTTAGAGAGCTGACGTGCTTCAGATGTTGTTAGAGATTTCAGATGGCTGTGAGTTACAGCGTACAAGCAATGTAAGAATTATTGTCATGCAAATTCTATTGAATTAACTTTTGTGCTGCTTTGTGTAATATATTGCTTCAGCCCTGCTTGTCTTGCATAAACGTACAAAGAATTGGTCATTAAAGTACATTGCATGCTATTCAAGAAAACTAATCTGCCAACAATTTCATCAGAGAAAAAGCCACCTTTTCCCCACCATTCAGTAACTGAGTCATGCAATAGAGGGGCTGAAAATGCTGCTGGTTTGGGTGGCAAGTTTAGTCCTACTTGATAGTTATGTCCTCTTGCGGATGCTTGTAACCAGCTGGTTTTAAAATCTTGATTTTTATCAATTTGAGGTTTCTTAAGAGGGAAATTACTAACTTACTGGTAAAGCCAACACATGGAATTGCTTTCCTCAAGCAGAGACGTGAAATCTGAGACTTCTCTAAAGGACTGGAGGATTTTTCTAAGACCTTTCGTTTCTCTTTTTTTCTCTGCTTGTATGTTACTTTAGAAATTGGATTGCATGGCAATCCAAACCATTCTGCGATTCTGTGGCAAATGGTAACTGTGGGGACAAGAAAGTGAAAAAGGAAGGCTTTTTAGTCCAGTTGTGTTTGAAGAAATCCTGGGCTTTGATTTTTGCCAACGCTTTTTCTTCCTTTTTCCTACTAGGGAATGAGTGTCTTAACAGTGAGAACTGAGCCCCTTTTGCAAAAGTTCTCATCCTCCCTCTAACTGGGCTTTGCAAGAAAAAACAGACAGGATTTGATACTGTTGTATTTAAAAGTAAAATAATAAGATTTAAGAATATGTCTTTTTTTCTATATAGCATGTGCGTTACGTCTATTGATATCAAGAATCTTTTGGGCATCTTATATTGATTCTGACATGGCAAAAAATTTTGCAAGGCCAGTTCTTCACTGATTCATTGCAGCTTACCTATAATCTGATTTGAAATGCACTTTTAGCTTTGCATGCCAGACAAAAAGAAATGTAGAGAGCAAGTGTCTTCTATAAAGCTGTTGTAACGGGTCTGCGTGGCAAGGTTT